GGATATATAACGATCAGCGGCTCGCTCGCTCCTGTATTATATATATAAAAAAAATTCCTCTTGAATCATAATACACACTGTATATCGTGGAAAACTGTATTAAAATCAAAATTTCAAAGGTAAGACAGCGGGAAGATACTTCTTTTTATACTACGTATATACAACATGTAACAGAATTAACGCACGTCCTGAAAGTAGTTTGTTTAAAATCAGATACTGATTCGATTTCAACAACTACTAATATAGGTTTAATTTTTGCTAATTTTAGTAAATAACCATTACAGCCATCACAAACAATAATCAAACTTAAATTAATGTAATTAAGCTTTTTAAAATGCACTATATTCTTAGCTTGTAATAAAATACAAGGCACATAAATGTAAAATTCCACCTTTCCTTTTTTGATTATAATAGTTATTTAAGATACGAGTGCGGAAAGTAAGGTTTTACGAATAAGGGCCAAATTGAAAACACGAGCGTAGCGAGGGTTTTAATTAGTACGAATTCGAAAAACCTTTTACGCTCAAGTTTCTTACAACATTTTTCAATGCTTTTTGCGAGGAAATAAAACAAATATATAGGTTAATAAAACTAAGTATGTATTAAAGGTAAAAATTATTTGTTAAAATTAAACGTGATATTTGAACATGTTTTCGTGTCATACATTTTTATTTGAAAATATTCGTTCTAGGCTCCTTGAAATACTTTTGCCTCTAAAGTTTGACATATTTTCATCAATTTTTTAAAAATTTCTTTGTGCTCGGACAAAAAAATTAAAAAAATACTTTTAAGCATGTGTGCAGTACAGGATTTCAGTACATTTTTATTTAACACGTGTTTAAAGACTCTCTTTCGGTGTTTACAATGGATTAAAAAAATAGCGCTTTATGAGCAACTGCATTGAAAATACATTTTCTAATTGGGGTGTGTAAGTATGTCCGTCCGTCAAATCATTTATTAAAAAAAAGACATATCGAATTGAAAGTCTTCTTTGATCCGTCAATTATTTAAAATAAATTTTTAATTTGTGATTTTTAGTGGCTATGCTATCGCTAAGATAATTTTTATTAAACAAATATGAAATACTTATGTCGTTTTAAGCAATCGTGTTTTGCGAATATTATACGAAAAAATTATATTGATATTATAATGTATACAACGCGAAATAATTATGACGTTTTAATAAAATCGTTTATATACAATTATTCGAATCGAATAGGAATAGATATAAAACAAGAATAAGCATATATGTGGTGCGCATTTCTAACGTAAATGATGTAATTCTGAAACCTGAGTGAATTAGAATGAGGAAAGCGTCTCCACTAGATGGCGACTCTAGCAAAAGTAGATTTTTGCAGGAAACGAATGGACCAAAGACATTCATTTCCGTTCCTTTTAAGTAACATATTAAAAAACTGAAATTTGAAAAGTTTGAAACTTAGATATCAATACAAATACGAACAAGTACAAATAGAATATGGGGTGTTTTTATGAGTTTTGAAAACTAATTTACTTTTAAACATGAAAGAAAACCGGAAGGGTTGTCATGGAGAAATCAAGAAAGTACATTTAGTGTGATTTTAGGAACTAATGTTTTTTTTTTTAAATGTCATTCATACGTATCTCAGATATTCTATTTCTAAATAATTTCGAAACTCATTTCAGTTGTGCCACGTAACGTTATTACCAATGTGGAAGTATTTAACAAAAACATTAGTACCCGAAATCAAACTAGATGTCGCTACGGTAGGTTCTTGATTTCTCCATGACAACCTTTCCGGTTTTCTTTCAAGTTTAATAGTAAATTAGTTTTCAAAACTCATAAAACACCCCATATTCTATTTGTACGTTGTCGTTTTTGTATTGATATCTAACTTTTAAAAATTTTCAAATTTCAGTTTTTTAATATGTTAGGTAAAAGGAACGGAAATGACTGTCTTTGGTCCATTCGTTTCCTGTAAAATTCAACTTTTGCTAGAGTCGCCATCTAGTGGAGGTGTTTTTTTAGTGCTTTCGTTTTTTTTTAAATACTTCCTCATTCCAAGTCGAGCGGATGCCGTTTTAGAAGTGAATTCGTATTCGGATTCAGATTTTTACAGAATCGCAGGGCAGGAGATGATCCGGCGTAGCATGACCAATCAATATTCTTAATGAAAAATGCTTAAACAATACACTTTCTTCTGGTACTCTAAGATGAGACCCATAGTTAGAATAGTAATTTCTTATCAATTATTAATTCACTAAAAACTTGGTCGTGTCTAAATTTGATTTATTATTAATATATACTATACTTATTTTAACTTCGGAACATATCTTTTACACTGGTTAATAATGTTTATATTACTTACTAGAAGGTAAAGTACAATTTTCTTACAAGAAATAGTCTAGTTTCATCAGAAATTGGATTCCTTCTGTAGACGAGTTCGTATTATGTTTCAATCATTTTTCTCGTGCGTGCTCTGATGTTAGTTTTATCATAGATAATAACAGTCGTGAACCTTGAATGAACTTACTGGATAAAATTATTCAAACTCAGATTTTTAACAGAGAGTTAGGGGGACTATTTGTAAAACAAATATTATTTGATATGTAGGTAAGAACTCTAATGCATTAGCATGGGATAGGATGGGATCAGTAGCTCAGGGTTGTTCAATGAAATCCTGGATGTAATACTTCAAAATCTCGTTTTTATTGGCAAATAATATATATCAAGTCACTAACGAGTGAATTCTAAGACACTGACTCAATGTCGGTCTCGATCAGAAAAAGAAAATTAACGATCACGTGAATTCGAATACGGATAAAGTAATAATTCAAAATATTAGCGGGCAGCATTGAAAATAAACCGTCTGGAGAGTAAACCTACCTATAGTAATGTGCATGGGAGTTATAGTACCTAGTTAAGAAGTTAAGGTAAAAGGCATACCAGTTTTTTCATTAAGGCCTCTAGCACAATATAGGTAAGCTTCATATCAAACATTTGAAATATCATTTATAATCTGTATTAACTTTTGGTATACCTTGTTACGCTTATTTTAAAATATGTCCCTCGCTGAGTTTCTTGCCGCTTCTTCTCGGTACAAGGTCCCCTGTAAATCCGATGGCATAGATTTTAAAATTTCACAAGTGCTTGTAACAGCCATCTGAATGAATGATTTTGATTTGATTGTCTTTTAAATAGACGCAAAAGAAGTAGTAGAAATATCTTTTAAAATAAACAAAAAATAATATGTCTGTAATTATGTATGTGTTTCTAGCAGCTGCCCTAAACAATTCATCCGAATTGTTGTCTATTAAAGTATACATCTTAATTATTACACGAACAGAGGAGAAATGTCATTACCTAAAGAAGTCGATTGGTCACCTTTAAATAAGCGTTTTAAATTTATTACTATGGATGCTTATTCTCACAAAAATATTTTATGACTTTTTTTCTGTGCCTAGAACAAGATTTCAAAAATTTATTGTTAAAAAATGATGCATAAATGACAACTCAGCGAATGTTATCTGTAGAGAAAACGATTAATTTTGAGTAAAAAAATATATTTTATAACTTTTTAAGCATCACTTGAATTATTATGTACTGATTTTACACTCGTAAGTTTTCCCAAATCATTAAATATTTTGCAAATTGAAGGTAGTTATTATTATTGGCACATTACTCAAATTGTAAAACGAATCACGTTGAGCGTTGATTGGTCTTTATGTGTTACATATAGAATACAAAATATTGAAAAAAAACCGATTACAGCTAAATCACGCTATAAAAAGTTTTAAAACAAGAAATTAATTTATAGCGATAGCTATATTGTAATAACGATGACCAAAGGACGGCGTAGTCGTATCATCGTATGCCACAACAGTTTGTTTTGTTATGATCAAAACAAACAGTTGTACTATATTCGTATATAGTATGTATATGTGTGAAGTATTTATGCTTATATTGTTTTTCTTCCTACACAGTATAGTACACCGTCCACTACCTCATTATTATTAGCTCATTTATGATTTAACTCCATCCCAGGGTTGCCTGGAAGAGATCACTTTTAGTGATAAGGCCGCCAATTGTACGTCTCCTTTTTAAAATTGAAATTGTAAGTGTTACGTGTGTGTACAATAAAATATATTCTATGCTATTCTATTCTATGATCATAGCCTATACAAGTAGTTATGATCGTAGCCTGAACAAGTGGTAGTGGAAAAAAACTTTTTTTGGACGATTCAATAGCCTACTTGAATAAAAAAAAAATTGCATTTGTTCAGCTACGATGAGTAGTTTCGAATTTATAAGGGAACAGGTGAACATTCTTTCATACCGGCCAATATCACCTTACTTTGTGCTTCGCCGTAGTCGGGTAAAAATTATGATTTCATCTACTGATTTAAAAATAAATGTATATTGGTAATAAATAACAAAAATTTTTTTTTATTTTTTTATTATTTATGAGCTCTTTTAAAACATTAAATATAATATTATTTCTTTATTTCTACAGATTATATATAACTTATTATATCTCACGATAAAAAAAAAATAAAATAAAATAGTGAATGTGAATACTTTAAGAATTATGCAATTCTAAATTATTTAGCTTCAGAAAATTATACTATATCTCTAACAGCCAGTTGCACAAATATCCATTAAAATTATCATTAATTCAACAACATTACTGATACAAAATTTCAAATTTAGAACATTCGTTAGAGCTTAAAGTCGTCAATAAAGGTAAATGGGCATTTATTGAACTGGCCGTTAATCTCTACAAAGGGATTAGATTGTAATAGCAGTATAGACTATACTCCATTTCTATACACACAAAATTCTTCTTAGAAGAAATTAATTAAGAAACAAGCTCGTAATTACTTTTCATTGTGTTAAAAATTAGCAGTGTATCCTTTATAAGCCGTGAAATTTATAAGCGTAAAATTTGTATCCAGTTATTTCTTATTTGAGTATTGTATTCTTTCGAAGAAGAAGACACGAAGAGACGTCTTAATTCAGATTACATATCGGTTTTGGGACGATTCTGTGTTTTACCAATAACGCTGACACCGTTGGGCTGGTTAACCTCTGGATTCACTTTGCTGGCTTTGGCTGATGAAGGCGACGATGCTAAGCCGATAAGATTATCTGCCAACAAAAAAAAATGGTTAATATATTTCAAATTACACTAATTTCAGAGTGGTGAGTCCTTTAAAAGATATTTATCCGTGACTCGCTTGCGTAAATTCTAACCTGCGTCACCCTCGTACGATGTGTGTACTTAAAATTAATAAGCCTTTATCTCTTTAACAAGTAAAAAAAATCATCAGGTACAGATTTTGCATAATTTACAAAAAGCGAATTATGTCAATACTCTGTACTTTTCAATAAGTCAAAATTAGTAGTATATTTTTCATATCGAGATCAAGAACGCCAAAATTGGTAATAATGTCCTGAATACAGAAATCCAAATTTGATTGAGACGCAAAGACTGTTGTAGAGTAATGTTTTATAATGTTTCTCTGTGGTAACACTATCGTCATGTCTGTATGCAGAAAATATGGAGTTAAACAAGTATTCAAGAGTGTAGATACTGTCTTATAAATTAATGAGAAGGTTTGTGTAACGTAAATTTCATAAGGAAAATAGGGATGATGACTGGGTAAAAAAAATTCAATTCGTTTTAGTCCGTCAGTCAGATAATAGAAAAATATTAGATACGTATTTTTTTTACTTCAATTTAATTAGAAAAAGCTTAGATAACAGGCATTAAAGTTGAGGAGTGGGGGCGCGCTACGTCACAGTTGAGTATAAAACGTACTCTAACGTGACGTCATGCGAAATTTCAACTCAATGTAACGCCGTAATTTTACGATTACGAAAAAAACTAAAAAATACGTGTTTAATATTTTTTAACACTCTACCTGACGGACAAACAAACAAAAATTAGTCATCATCCCTATAATATGAAGATCAACAAGATATATTGGATAGTTTATTTCTTCAATTAGAACAAAGATCAAATAGAAAACTACAAAGACTTGTGCGACTAACTATGTATTGATCATTTGTCATCTTTTTTCATATTCAAATAATAATAATTTTATATTTATTAACATTTCCATGTACAATAGGTACATCAGTAGTAGCAACGTGTAATAGTATAAACATATTAATTTATACTACTGCATTGATCAATTTTGCATTTATAATGCTATACTGATTTTTTTTTAATATTGCGCCAGCTACTCTGAGATGGCACTCGAACCTACTCTGAGCTACCCAGGACTTAATAGGATTGATGAATTTTTGACGAAGTTTAAAATATTTTTAAATATATTTCTTTTGGGTTTAAGAGCGAGACAAACCGTCGATATGAAATTAAATTTAATATGTCAGTAATATTATGTGTATACTTTAACGAAAATATTAATTTCACAAAGGCTCATTACACGTTTCGACTACTAATTCAAAATTACCATGATATTCAAACGAGGTAAACTTTATGATTTAATCCGAATTACATTCTCAAAGTTTGATTATTACGTAATAACAGAATTATCTTGTTATTTGTTTTGAAAGGCTTATATCCCGTGAATATTATCTTCAATGTAAAGTATTTATAAGTTGTTTTCGTACTCGATAACTTAGACATTTTCCTTGTTACATATTGAACATGCGCTCACAGATGTTTGTTTAGTGAAGTCTGAGAAATTTTCATTTCATCGTAACATTTTATTTGGTATGTTTTATCAATTTTGCATTCGCAAACATGTTTAAAAATTATTTTTTCTTAAGCATTTCTCAATAAATATATTTCATTGAAAAAAAAAAACAATAGATGGTGGTATCTTTAATTAAATATAAGGAAGAAGATGAAGAAATTATAGAATCATGATAGCTTTTGATTAATAGGCTATAATATCTCTGTTGCTTGGGAACAGGGGGCTAATTCTCTAATTTTAAAATATATAGCAATCTTTTTCGATTTGACCTTTGATTAATTTTCACGAACTTCACGCTACATGCAACTATTTAACATATGATAGACGACATAAATTGACGTTAATTGGAATTATCTGAGGCAAACGCTAGACGCAAATGTATTCGAAACTATTAAGAAATGTCAAACGAAAAAGCCGTGTGCTAAATATCTGGACGAGTTTAGCTAAGATTTTGTTATGTTCCTCGATCATTTAAATCAACATTATTTCTAAAGCGATTGTGAATTCAACGTTACTATTTCACAAATCGCTATACCTTCGAATGTGATTTGATAGATGTCGAAAGTAGATAATTATCCCGCGGGACAAACAAAGCAGTTTGCTGCGTGTTTACGATTGTAAATGTAGCCGGCAGAAACGGTGTGTGCCTTCCAAAGTACGGAGGAGCTCGAGCTGAATATTAAATTTCATGAAAATTTTTGGAGCTATTCTGAGATTCAGCTTAAATATATAGAAGAATTGCTCGTTTCCCTGTTGTATTAATGTCATCGAGCTTGTAGCGAGCAGCAACACTGTGACCATGCAAGCTTTTGTTTGAGCATACGATATCTAAAATAGGATCTATGTATATATTTTAAAAAGCTTTCTATTCACTGCACGAGTATTCGTACAATAGATAAAAGCTTTTGAAGTCGACTTTACTTAGCAAGAATATTATCTCTTTTAATTTTCAATAAACATTTTTATATTTTTTTTATGGGATAGATGGCAGACGAACAGACGGATCACCTGATGGTAAGTGATTACCGTCGCCCATGGACACCTGCAACACCAAAGGGGCTACAAGCGCGCTGCCGGCCTTTGAGGGACGAATATGCTCTACGCTTGTAAGTTTGTAGGTCGTATCGGTCCGAAAATACCGCTGGTGACAAACTGTTCCAGAGTTTGACTGTGCCCGGCAGGAAACTTCAATTTTCAAAACTACTAAAAAGTTTTATTCGAAGTCTTATTTGCAAGGATGGACATAAATACATAAATACTTGCGAAAATTGACAGATGTATTTAGAAGTTATTTTAGACTAACGTTAGGGGGCGTCCATAAATTACGTGAGATGTTTAAGGGGGGGAGGGCGTCGAGTCAAATCTCATCTAATCTCACGTTGGAGAGGGGGGGGGGGGTCTCGGCAAATATCACGCAATTTTTAAAATAAGGCTCAGTGCGGGGAATCCCTCATAGAGAGACAAGTCTAAGATTAAGTTCATTCACTAATTCGTTGGAAAGAAAATAATTTCATTCGTACTTTGACATTATACATCACTCCTGATTTTCAAACCACTATAGGTACTCGTTTTATACCAAATAGCTAAATTTAATTTGAATTTACTAGTCTCTAACTAGTCGTAAATAAAAGTACGAAGCGAATTATTTTTTTCTTTTTATTAAAAAAATCCAACGTGTTTAAATAAGAAACCCACATTTTGAAAAATCTCACGTGAGATTTGGGGATGGGGGAGCGGATTGAATAAAATCTCACGACATCTCACCAGGGGGGGAGGGAGGGTCAGAAAATTTGAAAAAACACCTCACGTAATTTATGGACGCCCCCTTATATTATATTAGCGAAATATCGATAACATAACATACAAACGGATTTGAAGTTTTTTAAAAACGTAAGAACATGTTATAATACGCGCTCTAATCTGATGTTATACTCTTAAAACCAAACTTCGATATATTTATCAGCTTAATAGTGGGGGGGGGGGGGGGGGGGTTATAATTGACTTATTTTAAAATCTATCGCAATCTTTTTCTTTATAATGTTTTTATTCATTACAAAAGCGATTGCGACTTAAACGTCACACCATCAGCCCTTTTACGTCCCCACTGCAGGGGCTCAGGCCTTCCTTATGGATGGTTAAGGAGAATGGGCCATGACCCTCCACGCTAGCCCAATGCGGATTGGAGGGTATTAACGACTGCAAATGCAGCCGGGACCAACGGCTTAACGTGCCTTCCGAAGAACGGAGTAGCTCGAGATGAGAATTTTTTTGGTCACCCATCTCGTGACCGACCCTTGCGAAAGTTGCTTAACGACTACGATCGCGGGCCGCGGCGCTTATCCACTACACCACCGAGCTACTCACAATTAAACGTCACATAATTTTAAAAATCGATAATCCTTTGAAAACGATTGGAAAATATTTTAAAATAAAAGAATCAGCCCACAGGTTCACATTCAAAAATAATTTTATTAAATGTATGTAAAAAAGTTTGCACCTTTTAAATGAATAAGCACAGCACCTAAGGCACCAAATATTCCGATGGCTACCAGTAACCAGCGTATCACGCCCACTACACTAATGGGCAGGAACAATTGGTTCTTCAACATCTTCACAAATGTTTTGTTCAACGAAAGACCCTGGAAGGAAAGACAACTATTTAAGTAATTGCCAGAAAAAAAATAATGGAAGACTGATGTCATCCAATTTTTTTACAGTAATGTCTATTAAGTAAAGTTTAAGATTGACCGTGAAACAATTTGTGTTACAAAAAAAATGGGAACAAATAAATTGCACACAAGTTTTAACTTCTTTCATGCTGATGGTGAGAAAGTTGTCTCTGAAAACTTCAAAACTTATATGGCAGTTGTTTCATTTTCTTTTCAGTATAGCACTTTATTTGTTTAGTGTTTTATACGTCCTATTAAAGTGGTGTTATACACCTACCACACGTGCATGCTTGACCACAGTTTTACTTGCGCATGCCGGCTTTGGGGTTTGCGCATGCTACCATTTTACCAACTACACGCACAGTGTTCAATGTACAAGCCGGCATGCGCAAGTAAAACTGTGGTCAAGCATGCACGTGTGGTAGGCGCCTTAGATTGCATCGCGCTCCAACTTTGAACAAATGTTTTAATGAAATAATAGAATAGTATTTAATACCCATTAATTACATATTTTCATAAAATTATTTTATGTAGTTGAATATTCCTCACCGGATGTCAGTTTTCCCACCCTTTATCGCGAATAACATATCATTATTCTTGGTATTGTGCCCGAGGTCATTATCATTATAGCCTCATGTATATTTCGTATATTCTAATAATAATTTATATATTTCTGCATTAAAACATGAGAAGACCAGTAATGTTTCTCAAAATTATATTTCGTATGAAATTTGCTATAATACGGTTGTTATGTGTATGTATCTTTACTAATATTATAAGGAGAAAACACTAAATTGTTTGTTTGTTTGGATCGAATAGGCTCTGGAACTAATAGACTGATTTTAATAATGATTTCTCGTTAATTGACAAACAATGGCGTCAACTCCACCGTACACGCAGTTTGACAGGGTTAAAAACTAAATTTTGTTTAGGTATATAGATTTTACCAACAGAATTGCAACCACTATAAAGCTTTTTATTTCATATAGCAAGTTAGTATGTAGATTATTTTAGAACCGAGTTGCCTAGCAAGTCTGGGCCATCACTAAAATAATGTTCTATGTTTGTAATTATTTTATCAATTAGAATTTATCATCATCAGCCCTTTTACGTCTCAGTCGTCCACATTAAGTAGGATGGGCCATGAGTGACCCTTCACGCTGGCCCAATGCAGAATGGAGAGCAATTAGAATTATCAAAAAAAAATATAATAAGTTACGCACTTTCCTATTAAGTTAACTATAAGGTTATTAAACAGTTAGATTTCATATTTTTCTAAATCGCATCTTAGACTAAAAGTACTGAAGATTCTTGAAGATCTAAAGGTCTACTCTGTTTCTTTGAAAACGGAAATTCTATTCCATCTATCTTCTACATCTTCACGCTGTATCCCTGTATAGCAGAGAGGATCCAGTGCCACAAATTACGGTCCTTTCATACATCCTTCGCCTCAGCCACTTTCATTACTCTTTTCATACATGCTCGCCGGTTTTTATGGTTTCTGATATCAGCTCTAACAGCACGCGATTGATTTAATCGTGAAAAGTGAGTCGTCGTCTTCCTCGGCTTCTGCATCCTTCCACTTTCATATTGTATATCAAGTTTTTCATTATGTCATTCGAAATACTTTCTACATGTTCGAATTAACGGACTGTAACTTAAATAAATAATTAGCACAAGTTTATTACCTCTTCCATCCAAAAGAGCGGCGTCATAGTATTCTGAAAGTCCTTGAAAAGTACCAGTTCTTCAATCTGGAGTAATATCATACTAAACATCACTCTTAATTTCGCTTCCATTGGTGTGCCGGATAGCTAAATCCAATTCCTTAATATTAATATAATGGAAATAAAAAATCAACAAACAATAATGCAGAAACGTCCGATAAGATTTTTCAAGAACATTATTCGACGTTTGAACTAACCTCAATTTTAATTGCAGTGGAAATAAAATTTAAAATATCAATGTGAAATCCTTTTATTACAATTAGGTTTAGGTACAATTAATAATACTCCTTTGAATAATCTTTTTTCTCATTCAGGACTTGTTTAAGGACGCATTTAGGATTTCTTTTATTAAACCATTAAGAAGAGTTAATCGATATGAATATTTATTCAAAACGCATATCTGTATATCAACTCGCGTCTTTCAAAGTTAGTTCTCATACCTTAATCGAAAAACCACTTGCAGTAAAAATTTCTAGATTTACTCAATTTTTCGGAAAGTTCCACCAGTTTTAGAAAAATTTATTGGTGAAAATATTTCATGAAAATTATTTAAAATGATCTATTCATTATCAAGTGATGGGTACATAATAAAGGATACATTATATTTATTTTACTGACTAGCTAAACTCAACCAATATTAATTCTGTCTTTCCCCGTATCAACTGCGGGAATTCAATGAATAAACGAACTTTTTAATAGTCAAACCCATTTTAATATTAAAATTTTGTATTGAAATTTCAAGTTCATTCATGGTTGAATATACCCAGTTATAGATATAAAGCTATATATAGTATGATATAAAGCTACTTAGAACTCGATCTTAATCGATAGTATAGTAGTTAGGACGTTCTATCTGTGATGCGGAGCCTAAACAAATTTCGCAAAGGACGGTCATTGAATGGATAATCATAAATTTTTTCCGTGCCGGAAAACGCAAGTTAAGCGGTTGGTCTTGGCTGCATCTGCAATCGTCAACACTCATAAATACGCTTTGTTCCCACGTAGTGAGTTATGGGTAGCTCTTCTTATTCAGTTTACTATATAAGTAAGGCCTATACCCAACAAGGGTGACATCGACGAACGCATGATATCCATGCATCACCACTTTTTAGTAAAAGTTTTCTTTATTTGGCCAGCGGTAAATATCTTTCATGAAAATACTACTTTTATATGGCAGAGTTTTATAATGTTAGAAACAGTTTTCAGTAAGATAATGATAAACGTTATCATAATTTAATATTATGCTACTTACTGGTTCAAAATCAATTTCCATTCCGTGCTGATTCACATCAGGATGAACTCCCTTTACCTTAGTCACAAAGTGTGGATCACATTCTAGATAATGAGGTAATGATGCGTACATCGGAGCACCTGTACATTTCTTTAGTTCCATCATGCCCTTAGGTGGGCAAGTATCAGGAGTTTCGCAGAAGCACTGAAGATTAGGGTCGCTTGCGAAATCTCCAATGTTGACAACGTAGCGGTTAGTCTTGATGCCGTTGTATGAAGTCTTCTTTTGATACCATGGCTTAAAGTATCTGTCGAAGTGAAAATAATAATTCTTCTTCAGAAGACAACGACAGAAGACGTAGAAAAGAAGTGACTTAGGATAAATAATATAAGTGGTAGTTTATATGAACAAAAATAGCCATAAGATTCTGTACTTCAGGCTTGATACAGAAAAGAAGTGTATGTCAACTTTTCGCTAAGTCCAGTCGAATTTTATAAAAAAGATGACAGGACACAAATAATTCTCAAAGAGGGGAAAGGACAGACATAAATTTGTTTGTATGAAAATTCAGTTTTTTGCGTATATTATATTTTTGCTTTAAAGGTGCTAAAAACATTTTTTATCTTCATATAAAATTTGACCGATTAAAGTTTGAAGAGGATAAAAATAAAAATAACAAAGCAAATAGAAGGGGTACCTGCATAGATCACCAAAATACACCTCAAGCCTATCCTTTTCAGTCAGAAATGGTGGGAAAACTGTCCAGTCCGTTCCTTGGAATTGATTGCATGTATCTCTCCATAAGTTCAGTTCAGGTTTTCCGTCGAGGGCGATCACTTGTCCTACGTCCATTATGTTTCTGATGCCTCTCTTTACAGTCACGATGTGATCATCGATAGAGCCATTTCGCTGATAATTTTTCGTTACGTATTAATAAAACAATATTTCTACAACGTTTGTATGATAGCGGAAAATAATTATGTTATATGAAAACAATTTCTAAGTATTCCTACAGATTAAATAGTTGAGACAAGAATAACATTTGTATTTATTAATAAAATTTGAACAATCTTCATTTAGTCGTCAAAGCTCTCAAATGGCATTTCAATTATTTTCAACCAATTACTACAATCTTTTAGAGCAATGTACATCCTGCGTAAAGAGATCATAGGTATAACACCACCACCACCAGCCCTTTTACGCCCCCACTGCAGGGGCTCAGGTCTTCCTTATGAATGGTTAAGGAGGATGGGCCATGCCCAATGCGGATTGGAGTGTAATAACGACTGCAAATGCAGCCGGGACCAACGGCTTAACGTGCCTTCCGAAGCACGGAGTAGCTCGAGATAATAATTTTTTGGTCACCCATCCCGTGACCGACCCTTGCGAAAGTTGTAACGACTACGATCGCGGGCCGCGGCGCTTATCCACTACGCCACCGAGCTACTGATCATAGGTATGTTCGGCTGTAACTTAATTGGATATTAATATTTGACTATTCTACGAAACTGAAATTTAATATGATTTGATTAATGTCCTCTGCTTTTAATATAGAAATAAAAAATGATATTTATGCCTCACCTTTCCAAATAAAGAGAATTTGAATTGTTTGTTTGGTTCAATGATTAAGTTATTAGCAGCCCTTCTCTTGAGTGCTGAGCAAACAGCCTTTGGTGCGAAATCAGATTGTGCGCAATTCACTATTATGCCTCTAAACAAGATATCCAGAACCTTCACTCGCATGAAGATATCTTGTGGGGTATCAAAAAGGTAATTGAAAGCTTTCCCGACTGTGTTGAGTAATACTGGCTTCTCTTTAGCTACAACTGTCGTTACTGCCTTGAAATATTAAAAATAATAAATTGATATCACGATATTTATCTATTATTATTTTATAAAATGGTTTATCATCGAGGACGAGACAAAATAGAGCTTAATCTAACTAATCTATTTTCTAAGTTAGATAAAACTCTATCTTGTACTAGCTGGTACCTGCGGACTTCGTCCGCGTGGACTTCATGAAATAGTTAACCGATGACTGAAAATTCACAGAATTTCTTTGTATATATTTTGTTTTGGGTTATATATATTTTGTTTTTCCTTCGGGGGCCAATATAAACAAACCCACAGCACTACTGACTTGCGTAAAATCTGCGTACCGCTATTCTTAGGAAAAACAATTAGGATATCATAAAAGACAATATCACCACGAAGCATAAAGCCATTCTATGTATTTGTCAAGCTTTTAACAACTTTATCCTTGGTATGCGGTAATGTGTCTCACGAGACTCGTGTCATACACTAAGGGTATAATACCCAACAGAAAGTATATGTCCGTCGTGATATTAGACTAGTCCGCTAAAGCTGCAGGTAAATCCCGAACAATAGGGATTGGATTCTAACTCACAACTGTGGCCCATGCAGTTTCGACAGACATGGCACAGAAAATTACCAAAATTCAGTCTCTTACTCATAGTGATTGCATTTAACTATTATTTCGAAGTTTTTGTTAGTAGCACACCAAGTTCTGTTGTCAAGTTAACAATAACAGTTTCTAGCAATCAAATTTGACAGCTCGATTCCCGATTGCTATTCAATATTCGCTACCAATGTCATCACAGCATGCCCAGTTGGGATTGGTGAGTGTTAGCCTCTAAACAAGATATCCAGAACCTTCACTCGCATGAATTACGCAATATTCGCTACCAATGTCATCACAGCATGCCCAGTTGGGATTGGTGAGTGTTAGGGTTTGCAGCGTGCCAACTAGTCATCTGATCCCGAAAGTGCAGGCAAATAGCTGCACCATGGTTGTTTTGATGTTATAACGTATTTACCAGCATAACAATATTAGGCATGATGATGATTTCTTCGCCAGTAAGTCCAGGTCCCGACAAATCTGGTCTGAAGTAAAACGTGTCTCTTTTCCTATATGTGATTGTATCATCTTCTTCGTCATCTTCCACTTCCACTTTTTCTTTCCATTCGCTTAAAATGAATATTTTAGAACATTGTTTTATAATTGTTTTGCTATTTTCTTACCAAATAAAATATCAGTACCTACATTTATATTGTGTTATTCTACTTTTAAACATAATAACATATATTTTCATCGATTCAGAAATCAAATTATTTATGAATAACAATGGACGATCGATACTTTATAACTTAAAGTATAATTTGTTTAACTTACTTTTAAGGTAATTTATTTATAAGGATTTCAATAAATAATGGCGAAATGAAATAAATGTTCCGTTATGTTTATTTAAGTTTACACAATTCATCGAAATATAATTTTTTTATCTTCTCTAGCAAGTCTTTTGGAGATTGCATTTCATTTTTTATTCTATTCATGTTTTTTCTTCTGTCCTTATAATTTAGTAGGTATATAAAATCACAGAAAAAAAGGTATATACAGATCGGTGGATGTCAACAACTGCAAAAGCAAGAAAGGCTGTTTTTTGCTAACTTACAGTAATTTTTTGTCACCCATCCTTTAACTGATCATCGCGAAAGTTGCTTAATTTCCGAATCGCAGATCCAAAGGGCTAGCCAATATGCCACAGACCTCCTCTGTTGTGTTTCTTACATTTCAAATCAAATGAAGGAGTATTCAAGCAGCTTAAAAACACTTTTACGCGTAATTGAGAAATGTGGCGTTCATTTAAGTGACTCGTTACGAAATACGTACTCGAAATGGTAAGGGCCGATTTCTTTGACGATAGGTACACCGCCCCTTTGTACTTCCTCTGGGTTGGTGTAATTAAACATGTAAACCTTGAAGTTCATAGCGAACGGGAGTTTTTCCCACATGGCTCGGACGTCAGTTTTCTTTGATAAAGACATTTCCTGAAAGTAAAAATCAAAAATAAGTATATTCACGCTAATATTATAAACAGGTAAAGTTTCTAATTTTATTTAATTGTTGGGAACAATCCTCGGAGACATGCCACGACTTTCACCTACGGAAAGCTGCATCATACGCGGATGATATAAGCTATAGTTTAGGCGAGCACAATCGCGGCAAAAGCACCTTGTTATTATATAATTAAATCGCTAAACTTAGAAGTCGCCCATATTTGTCGCTTACATATTTAGGAATCGCCTAAGGTGAATGTGTATTTCACCGATGACTAGGAACCACCTACCTAATAACATTTGCGTAATATGACAGGTCACACGTTTGAGAAGGTATAAAAGAAAGAATGTTTATTTGAAATGAAACTAATCTGCTTATGTGAAACGTATCATGAGGTGTTGTTCTAGGTCGGTGAAAACGGGTGTTAGTGGCATAATTGTTTTGTGGTTGTTTAGAAAAACCAATTTTGAATTGAATTGTGAACTTAAGATTAATGTTTAAAAGCGATTGAAGTAATCTTTTGTAGTAATCATGACGCTCTTTTTATTTCCCTTATTGTGAATTTTTCACTTTCAATACTAATTTTAAGATTAACATAACTTTATGATGAGTTAACTACGTTATAAACTTCGATGGTAAAATTTATCTAATATAACTTAATCAAAAACAATAGTTCTTTCCCAAAGTAAATATTAATCAATCTAATGTCAGGAAATACCTCTTTGTTATTGAAAACCAGTGTACAAACGTTTTGTTGTCAACTTTATCATAAAACCTAACTTAGGATCTATAGGTATGTGAACTTAATCTGCTGACGTAGATTTGATATAACCTTGTTTTGGAATTAAGAATATTCTTATAGACAAATTAGTTACTTTAAATAATTCTTATATTTGCACGTTCTTGAGCTTTGGCTATTTTTCGTCTAATACTGAGTAGAAGCCCATTTGGTATAATTAATTATGCATTTTTGCTGTTATAATTATTTTGTATTTATGACAACTAAACATTTTCTATTTGTTGACGACAGCTTTCAAACTCTTTAAATAAATGTTTTATATTTTTTCGAATTCGAATTTTTATGAATTTTGAAAAGCTTACAAACTCTTTAAATAAATGTTTTAAATTTTTTTATTCTAATAATTTATGAATTTTGTTTTTTTTTTTTACTTTAAGTGCTGTTGCTGTCATTCTTATATTGTTTTTGTACACATCTTTAAATTTATCTTATTCTGACTTATCGTTTGTTTCATAAAGCCTTCCGTCGTAATTTTAAAGATATTCAATAAAGAAAAGAAACTTTCGTTGATCATAGTTATATAGTTCAACATCACCTTCTTGATTTGACTTTTAAGAATGGCCGGAAATAAAACCCATCCGAATATAACGCCAAAGATGCCGGCTGCAGCCGCCCCTGCTCCCATCTTCAAATGCATTGGTAGCTGCATGTTCTTGACAGCAGTTTATCAAGGCCCCGATGAACTGTCAAAAGATTAAACACCTATGGTAAAATATTGCACCTACTGCTTATGTTATATTTAATCAATTTGACATTTACAATGGTATGTTGACAAATATTCTTAAAGACAAATTCTTAAAAAACTCATCAGTTTCAGGGCGCTTAGTGTAAGTTTTTTTGACGTTTGCGTTCACTGTCGATCGTGAGCGCGTTAAGATTTTAGTATGGAATCTGGTACAGAGCCCCTAGCGGTAACAACCAAGAACTACAAATCTCCATACAAATTCTTAACGCGCTCACTAGTGAACGCGTTAGCGTAAAACTTACACTTACCACTCTGGTACTGGAATGGATTTCCAGTAATCTTCCTCAATCCGGACTATTGTTCCAAGTGTTGAGTTTTCCGTGACCCAATGGGAATTCACATCACATTCAGGCAATCCACATCAACAGAAAAGGTTTAGCCGGATACGTATGACGAGTCGGCCCCCAAATGGGAATCGATATTGAAACTTATGTTTTAATATCGACTTGATGTTCAAACACGATTTATGTACTTTTCGCGACCGACTTCCGCTTTGACCTTGAGATAGAGAGCAAAATATCCGTATACTTGACTATTACTGAATGTGATATATCTCTAAAGCTAATTAAGATAAAGAAGTGAAACTAACGCGAGGTGTTAGGTTACATTACAGAGTATATCACATATTTTTTTTATAGTTTTTAGAATAAAAAATTACATTAAAAAAATAAAAAATAAAAAAATCATGTTTTTTTTCTGAGTTCTCTGTGACTTACAATCACGAAATTAATATATGTTATGCTCCTTTGTGTGCTCTATTACCCATAAAAATTGCGTGAAAAAAAAGTTGGTGCAACACAACGAAAAAAAATTATATGTGATTCGCGCCTTGTAGTGTGAGTGTATAAACAAACAAGTTCGAACTTGTTATCGAGCTGTTTACTGCATCATTTGTTTAGCTAAAGTAGCAGTCATTTGTATTACACAAGAAGGCAGTTTGGGACTCAAATTCTGTCATAGGTATTTTGTATCAGCATTTTGAAATTATTAACTATCGAACCAAATCATTATTAAGTAATAATGTCGAAAAAGTGTAAAAGTTGTATCAAGTCTATATTAAAACATAAGTTTCAATATCGATTCCCATTTGGGGGCCGACTCGTCATACGTATCCGGCTAAACCCTTTTAAAGACATTTTTCGTTAATGTTCTATCTATACGATGTCTCTCGCAAAATGTTCCGCGTTTCAAGCATTTCAAAAAAGTAAAAGTCAAGTTCTTTTCATTCGTTTTGTTAAGAACTTTTTGATAGTGAAATACCTACTTATGATAGATTCAGCCTCTACGAAGTGTTTAGTTATATAATTTTAACTAATTTTTTTAATCTTTGAATGGATAATATAACTTATTTTAGATGAGTTTAAGCTCGTAAACGTCTCAAAGATGGCAAAGATACTAAAATATGACTGAAAGAAATATATTCTTAATGGAGAATGCTTAAAAAACGACGTTGTCCCTGGCACTCTCAGATGGGATTACGAAAGGTCGTGGGTTCAAGTCCCATCAGAATGCCAAGGACAAAATTATTTTTTTAAATCATTTTTCTTTAAGAATATGTTCAGTATAGCATTGTGAATGCAAAATATATCGAATATAATGATAAAATATTTTTTTACCAGCATAATTGAATACTAGATTTAAAGTTAATGATAAGACCACGCATAGGTAACTTTTTAGTTTAAGTTAATCGATAGAAGTTGCAAAATCGATTTATACCTAATCGAGACTGGTTATTTCACAGGCGTTTTATCAATGACATTTATAATTATAAATCGATAAGTATTTTCCGTTTATAAAACTGCAAGGTCATTGTTAAAGCCGTCTCATAATTAATTACTTGTGCATGTAGGTTCACATTAGTTGTTTCACATACGCTTGAACCATTGTCAACCTTGCATTTGAATAATATGAGAAGTTATATTAATATCTAATAATAAGGTATCACTTACTTATGAAACTTATCATTTGACTTCGTTAATACATTAGTAGGGATAATAATAATAGAACTCTTTATACAGAAATTTACATAAAAATATTAATATTACAGTGTAACAATTGCCGGTCTTATCGCTTAGAGCGATCTCTGCCAGACAACCTTTGGATGGAGAGAGCTAAATGACAATCAGGAAACGGGGGTGCAAACTAAAATAATTTAGTAGATATTAAATCATAAATATTTAATAACAATTGCATATATATATATATATATATATATATATAATATATAACTGATAAAACTACATCTACATAAAAAGATAAAAATAATAATAATAAAATACATAAAATAAATATTTATAATGTATATTATAAATATACAAATTTTGTTGGAGTGACACCAAATATTAAATTTTATGTTTAAATTTTATTGTAAAAGTATACAAATTATTATTATTGCAATAATCAATGACTTATTAGATATTTGTTTGTAACCGTTACTTTATTATAATTATTTTTCATACTTAAATAAGTATTCGGTGATTCGGTGAAATAGACATCTGCGGAAAAATAGCGTCACAGTGTAATTACTGCAGTATGTAATAAGCGTCAGTGCTTCCAGCACGCGTAGTATGACGAACGTGACAACGTTTTATCTACACTCAAATGTCACTTTTCTCGGGTGCGCCCATACGATATCTCACTCTCAACCCGAGAAACTGACAAATGAGTGAAGACAAAGCGTTTCTCGAGTTTGTCATGCTACGCGTGCTGATCTCAAAAGCAAAATTACAGTGTTGTCAGCTTAAAAATACAGTTGTTTATAAACAGTAAGCAGTGTGGTGTAATGCTAATGAGTTAGTTAATAAACGTCGCTTATCGTGAACGAACGTATTTTATTTAATTAAACCCGATCCGTATATCAGATGGCGACCCTGCCAAGCGGGCCATAGGAGTGAAAATAATATACGGGACGCGAGCGCACGCGCGCCGCGCTCCGGGCGGCGGCGTGCGCCGCGCAATGCCGGGCCGAGTGCCCATAAAAACTAATTTAAAATAAAAATTGAACAATAAATATTCCATAAAAGTGTTATATAGATATGAACTATACAGTGAAACATAATTATGTGAACAATGTACTATAAAATAAAATATATATTATAATTAATTTAAACACATGCATTCGTCCCCAACATTATTATTAAATAAATAAATAAACTATAAAATATGTTAGTGATATATAACGTTATATAAATAATAACGAACTATAAAAATGGGTGTGTTCGAGATAACCCCCGATACGAATTACGCAAACCAAGAAGTGAAGAAATTTAGTGATTCTTGGTATTTTATTATTGTACGGAGTGATCGCAATATGCAGAATTTTATATAGAAGACATATAAGGAAGAATTTTATATTGAGAAATCAGGTAGAAAAACTGACTCAAGAGTATAGTAGACTATAAAGCGATAAT